AGATGGGACGATCTCTAGAGGTCCCTAGTCAGCCAGGCTAGGCAAGCTGGTGGGCTGCAGGTTAAAGGAGAGATCCTGTCACACACAAAAATAAAATAAAAAATAATCTGGAGAATGATTGACAAAGACACAAAAGTCTACCTCTGGTCTCCACATGTGTACAGCACACACACACACACACACACACACACACACACACAAAACTATCTCCGTATCAGAGTCTCCAATAAGAGGAGACACTCTGAGCAGCAAAGGTGTAAATTTCTCATATTAAAGTCAGTTTCCAGTTCTTTTGTTCCAAAAGATGACCCCAGTATGATGCAAACCAATAGCCCCAAATAAAGGATTCAGACTTTCTAAGAATAGTTAGGTCTCAGGGAAGATGCTAAGCCCAATAGAGCTATCCATTTCCCGTGTCATATAATCTTCACAACTTTGGGAACTAGGCAAGGACTCTGAGGCCCAGGAGTGCTGCGTGACCTGCCTAAGGTTAGATAACTGCTTAGTACGTCTCTTCTAAACTGAGTGTACGTCTACTGCCCCACAGCTTCTCCAGACACTGTGGGAGCAAGGAGGACACCTAGCAAAAATGGGGATCATTTTTAAACATTTGACTTCTTCCTTGCATCGTGCTTTAAATACTTCTCCATTTAAGTAAATATATATATAAGTTTTAAGGTTCACATCTAAAATATAAAATTAAAAGACAGAGGTAAGAGACTAGTATTGTTCAGAGAGCACACAAAATTACAATAAAAATAGCCAGTACAAGAATATACGATGGATAGAGGTCTGCCGATTGAAAGGGGGCTAAAAATAAAGTGCCAATAAAGACAGACACCTGCTGAGTCCTGGTCATTAAAGGAAATGAAAAGTAATGTTCAGATGACATTTCTAGCCAATCAATTCTCTTACTTTTTCCCATTTCTGTTGTGAAACGGCTATGGCCTCAAACACTGCCATCAGAAACTAATGGGAAGGAGTTTGTTAATATGGGTCAAGGGCAACCCAGCAAACCCCCTTCAAAGAAATTCTTTCTAGCAAAGGGATGGCATAACTTATAAATGGGAACATAAATGGAGGGCTCTATTATTTAGTTACTGAAAGAGCATGGCCACTTTACTCAATTGTTCATTTTTGTTATTTTGACAATTTTATACATGCACATAATGAGTTGGAACCATATTTACCCCAGGACCCTCTTTAACCCCTTCCCTTAGTCCTGCGGCCCCTTCATCTTCTCAGCTATCAGCCTTCTCCTTCCATGTCGTATTACTTTGGGCAGGTCTTGTGCAGGCAGCCAGAGCTGCTGTGTGTTCATGACTTCGATGGCCATATCATATCCAGTAGGCAGCATTCATGGTGTACCCAAACTTTATTTTTAGTAGACAAACTTTGGAAAAAAACATGTTTCTATATAACAGAACATTACTTCAAACTATAAAGAAGCAAGCCAGTAATTCATACATAAGTGTAGGTGAGTCACCTAGTCAGAGAAACCAGAGAGGTTTCCACCACTTTAATGGTGGAAGCCCAGTCTGAGAAATGTGATGTCATAGCTCAAATACCATAAGCTGCACTTACTAAGATAAGACACTGCTACTTGATATAACCCATTGATGCAATTAAGAAATGCATAAGATGCCACCAGATTTTTTAAAATGAATTTCAGCAGTTAGGTGATTAAACCAAAAGAGACAGCCCATAGCCATTGAAATTCATTCTTATTCCCTTCCTGATATGTTTGCATAAACACAAGTTTTCTTCGGTGAACCTTCACGTTTATATTACTTTTATAAAAGAGAGCATGACTCTAACGTTATCACTAATCAAATCTATTATCTGTCCTCGGGTGTGTGCTCATCTGTGTGAAGAGATCTCTGTAGGAAACGGCACTGCCTTTTCACAGTGCATCATTCTGAATGGCTTAGCTTCTACCTGCCAGGGAGATTCCATGTGTGGTCATCACATCAGTTTCAAAGAAACCTGACGCACACTACTAAGAGAAGAGAATTGCAAACTGAGAGTTAAAAATAAACACCGTGAATCAGAAAGGACATAGAAAATGTGGCCTGGAAATTTACATTTGCTCCTGGGCCAATTAGACCAGGTGTCTCCACACGGCTGAAGTCATAGACAAACCTTGTACGTCAGGAGAGCAGAGAACACTGTTGTGTGATATTTTAATTGCTATTCTGACAATAATGTTTGCTTCGAGTCAGAGGGTGGATGGAGCTAGCCACTAGCTGACCAAAATTAACCATAGAGGTTTTGGAAGACTGAGGACAGATAGGAGGCAGGAAGTAGTAAGGAAGGACTAAGAAAAGATCTCAGCCTCTTTGAATGGAGGAAGGGAAGAGATAAGAGGTCACTGGTGGCTTCTCCACAACTTCTCTGATTATTCAGGTTCTTACCCTGATATCTGACTCCTGATTGTTTATTGATAAAGAATAGTTAGATAAGCTCAGGAACACAGAGGCAAGTATAGACTATATCCAATCAATGCACTTCATGCTTCCTGGCCCACTGGCAGACAGATTCTAAAAACTCCCTTTGGCTGAGGAAGTGGAACAAAGGGCAGGAGGGACTTTCTGGGACCAGAAACATCTTTTCTGGTGATGGATATCTCAAGATATCTGAGTTGTGCCAGTCATGGGTAGGCTTCTCAAACTGTCCTATTCTTAGGCTTGGGAACACAGAGACTGAACTGTTTCCTATGCATGTCTACTAAGAAAAAGATGACCATCTTCATGGACATCAACATTTTTGTCCCCATGAGATCCCCGGCCAGTTCTGTAACCTTGCCGGTTCTCATCATGTATGGCACTGTTAGACCTACAATATGTTAAAGATTGTTCCAAAAGGAAGTGGATTCCTGTGAGCCTTTGCTTTAGCTAACTGACCAATAAACACCTTTATTTTATGTGCATCTCAGTTTAAGGGTATCCAATCTAATCGATATTATTGATTGATTACCATTGGACTATAATTAATGTCTGAAGAAAGTTTATTTCTATACAAATCCACCTCATCCTTGCTGCACTTAGGACAGCGTTTCAGTGTTAGTGAAGTCATCAATGAAAAGTACTAAAGAAATGAAAAATGAACCAGGAGTCACTAAATAGACTACTAAAGGTCATTTGTTTGTGTATATTGTGAGTGCTGGGACTAAAAGAGAAGCAGAGCTTGGCCTTGCTTGTCCTCAACTGGGAATTTGCATAAGGAAATTGACTTCTTTGCTCTCGCTGTTCACATCTGTGAATGAGAAAATGATCCAAATGCTGGGTTATTCAGTCACCTAAGAGGCTGACTCAGAAGGATCACATGTGCAAAACATGCGTAAGCTCATTGGGGAGTTCAAACCCAGCCAACGTGGGTTACTTTGTAAGACCCTATCCCTAACAAAGTCACACACATACACACACACACACACACACACACACACACACACACACACTGACTCAATGGTTTGGATCCACTTAAGCAAGTCCACGGTGAAGTAGGTAAATTAAAAAAAAAAAACCACCAAATCTAAAAAAAACGAAAATCAAAGTCGACCTCAGGTAGTATGTGTGGCTAATGGAAGCCAGGTGTGCTGATGGAGCTGCAGGACCAAGGCCAGGGAACTGAGTGTGCTCTACAGCGATCACCCCATTGTCTAAGAGAGTGTACCCCACTCTCGCTGGGGCTCCTTCTTGCTATCTCTTTTTCTTCTATACGAAGGGATAGTAGACCTTAGCTTGCATCTGGAAGACTTGATACAACACATATTGCTAAACCTGTCACTATCATTTCAACTGAAGATCAGAAGTAGTGTCCTAGATGGTTCATTTCTACAGGTGATCCTGTAGCTCTAATGGTCCAAAGACTTACCTTGGGTCTACGTGATTGGCTCCATTTTTTAAAAGGAAAAGCCCAAAGCTAAGAAGGCTTGAGTAACTTCCCCAGAGTTTTGTGCATTGCTAGTAACTGGCTTCTGAACCACAAGTATAACTGAATCCCCAGTCAGCTCTTCCCATTGACTTTGATGCAGGCTTCACACTACCATGACATTTCAACCATAGGTTTGCTCCCAGGCAGGTGGGCCATGATGTATTGGAAATATTGTTTCCTAGCTTTAAGTCAACTTGACACAAACTAGAGTCATTTCAGAAGAGAAATCTCCAAGTGAGAAAAGCCTCCATCTGGTTGGCCTGTGGGCAAGCCGTGGGGTGCATTTTCTTACTTAATGATTGACACTAGAGGGCCCTGCTCACTGCATGGGGTGCCACCCCTAAGCTGGTGGTCCTGGGTGCTTTAAGAAAGCAGTCCGAACAAATCCCGAGGATCAAACTAGCAAGTGGCACTCCCCTACTGCCCCTACTGCCTCTACATCAGATCCTGCCTAAGGCTCCTGCCTTGAGTTCCTGTCTTGACTTCCCTGGTTGATAGACTACAAGCTGTAAGGTGGAACAAACCCTTTCCTTCCCAAGTTGCTTTTATCTTGTGTTTTATCACAGCAATGGAAAATCTAAGACAAAAACCAAGAGTTTTGCTGTGGGCTCTGGGTCCTCGGCAGACAGGATTGAGAGTAGAGGAGAAAGGAGACAAGCTCCTCTCTCTGTCGCTTGGGGTTGACTCACGCTTGATAACAAGTTAAGATATCTGACCACAAAGCAACGCAAAGTGGTTGTCATCAGGTAAACTTAACTTATCAGATAGATTTTGGTTTGTAGTCAGTAGAAGGAAGTAATTACACACCCCGGAACAAGGATCTGATGACAGGATCATCAGCAGTCCCGTTGGAGCCTGCCTACGATACACAGCAGGCTTCAAATGTGCTTTAGCCTATAGAGTCTACATGGGGAAGATGGCAACTTCAAATGGAAGATTCACTGTCAAGTCATACAGTGAGGCCCTTTACAAAAGCAATCATTCCTTAAGGAAATGTTCTCAGGATATCAGGTCTACTAACTGCCCTGGACCACACTAAAGAATATTTTTCCATATTCCTTCTGCAGTAGTATTCCCTACTTCTGTTTACCTACGTTTGGATTCAAGCACATTTTACCGTTGACTGATGATGCTGAGCGATTCAATGAAATTGTGAGAAAACAGAAGATTTCTGCTAATATTGACACACCCGAAGGTGGATTTGATGCAATTATGCAGGCTGCTGTGTGTAAGGTAAGTGGGGGGGGCAGGGGTGGGGTCAGTGCTCTGCCCTATTAACATAAATTTCATCTCTTATTAGCCAATCTGCTTTGGGAAGCTTAGCTAACTGTCTTTCCTTTGATCACCGTACTTCTTCATTTGATCCTTTTCTTAAAATGTGAAACTTCCATTCAGCATTTAATTTAGTCATGTTGAAGGGGGAGAATGTTTTATGTGTGTGATATTTGAATAATCAAATAATAATAATCAAATAATCAAAGGAAATTTTGGTTCAAAGAACAGATTAGTTATTTTTTAATCAACTATACTAGGAAAAAATTAAGGGCAGAATATTAACAAACAAATTTGAAATGTCTGACTCAGTATACAGCACAACTATTGTATTTTACCTTTCTCATGATGTGGGCCTTGTTCGTGCTAGGCAAGCTCTATACTAATACTACTAATGAGCTACCCGACCCTTGGTTTTGAGAGGCAGAGTTGCAGTACATAGTTCAAGATAAAATCTGTTGTTTTGAAGTAATAAAGTCAGGATCAGAAGTCACGTTATCTATGCAGCCCTGTCAGGACCCAGGTCCTCCTTAACTCTTTGAGAATAATCACCCTGTCTAGACATTAGTCTGTAGTGGGCAATCCCAGGAAATGTCCAGGGTGGAAGCTTCTAGAAGGCAGAAGGGTCAGGAGTTAAAGGAGGAAGGAAAGGATAAGGCAGGTTAGAAGAGCCAGGAGGAGGTTTTGCCCAAAGGCTTCCTAGACTAATATTAGATCGCTGCTAAGACACAGATTGCAGACAATCTCCACTAGTAGGACCCTGGGGACATCTTTAATCAGCAGTTCTTATGCTTGTGTTAGATGTATAATTCTCAGGTGACATCGTTAGAAATACAATACCTAAATGTTGGGTGACATCATAATGAAACAGGCTTACTTTATAACCAGTTTTCATTGCATTTAGCTTGAATTTAGAATGACTGCAACCTTTTCCACTACCTCCTCTCATTATCTGTCTGGCGAATCGAGAGCTGAGCAATAAAGATCATTTACTAGAAGCCAAGATGAACCCAGCATCACTGGTAGTGGAACTAATTTATGTGATGCAAGGAAACCTGAAAGTTGTTTAGGAAAAAGCAAATGCTATGGGATTTCATCCCTTTACTAAGCCTCAAATTCACTGTAGATAGAAAGGCTAGGATGGGCTATCCACGTACTGTGAGAAGCCACACCATCCTCAATTCAGGCCTGACCATCTCCATACACCCTATGGCGTCCTTCTCGCTCTAGGAAAAGATTGGCTGGCGCAACGACTCACTCCACCTCCTGGTCTTTGTGAGTGATGCTGATTCTCATTTTGGAATGGACAGCAAGCTAGCCGGCATTGTCATTCCCAACGATGGGCTCTGTCACTTGGACCACAGGAATGAATACTCCATGTCAACAGTCTTGGTATGTAACCCTCACTGTCTTCAGCTTTCAGAGCCACAAGTAGACCCACACGACAGCAACCGCCGTGAAACCATGTGTAATGACTCACTTACTTGGTGAACGTGGTGTCTATTTTCTACCTTAGGGGATAGACATCACTCTTTTCTACCGCACCTGTATGCAGGTTCCACACAGAGTTCACGGGACCTCTGCTAGGTAGGTGGTGGGTCTGTGTTGAGAGTTTAAATCTGCTAGGTCACAGGTGAGCCTAGAACCTCTCTAGCTTCAGAGAGATCCCGAGGCCAGCAAAAGCAGCAGATAGCTCTCTATTCCAAGTCAAAGTGGTCCAGGTCAGACCAGTACCGTAGAGGGCTTTCTGAGCATCGTTATCTCTCGGTTGTGCCGCAACCATGGTGCTCTCTTTGGACAGCGAATCAAGTGGGGTTTGGTTTGTGTTTAATAACACTTAGCTCATTTTTTGTTCTTGAAAAATGCTGGCAACATTTAAAATAAAGAAAAACCCGGCCATTGTCAAATGAGATAAAAAATTTCAGAGGTCTTTGCCCCAATGGTCTCATCTAATCTTCAACAGGACTCTGTCTCACTGCTGTTTTGAAGAACAGACCATGTAGCTACTGGACCTGTAAATGTTATGTCCTGTACTGGGGAAACTACATTGCCCTTTCCGACCCAGTGAGCCTTCTTAGACCTCCTCTGGGTCCCAAAGCAGTCACTTCTTATTTCACCCTATTCATGATGTCTGTCTTCACGCACATCTCCATATGGCAATGGGTTCGCTTACGCTGTCTTTCTCACGGTGCCTTCCTCAGAGCCTGGGATGGTTTGTTATCTTTGTTTCCTGGGCTCAGTGCCTACGTCACAGTGGGTGCTGATGGATGTATGAGATGAAGGAAGAAGCATCACTCTGGGAAAGTCCTTCTGTGCAAATTCAACGCACTAGGTAGCATGGTTCAGAAAGGCCAAAGGACCCTTCAAATAATGATTTATAGAACACATAGGAAGGAGAAGGGGGAAACCTGGAATGCAATGTCAATTTTAAAAAAAAGCTATTCTATGCAAACTCTACTGGGTAACAAATTTAGACCATTTCATTCTTTAACCAAATTCTGAACTTCAACCTAGATTTTACCCCATCTTTGAACAGTTTTATTCCCCCACACACACACATGGTCTCTAATCTTAATCTTTCCATTTGAGAATCTCAATGATTATTGTCAAAGTTTGCCTTTAACTCAATAGGGTTCCAGTAAACGGGTCCTTTTATCATGAATTTGTCAACTGTCCCATAAAAGAACTCTTAAAAACCGAAAATCATAGAACCAAACAATATGCATCACCTCACACGACTTTCTCATTTAATAAATGTTTATCTCATTATTTTGAGTAAATTTCTGCATGAGTACAGATGCCATGGGCCATTTTCCATCCCTCCGAGTCCTTTGGCTATTTTTGTTTGCTGAAAGCACAGCTAGATTCCCAGGGCCACCAAACAGAACCTGCTTCTGGCCTTGAGTTTTCTATAGAATTATAAGCACTCATGCAACAGATCTCATTAACATAAAGCAGCATCCTATGTGGGCTGCATGGTGTGATCCAGCCTCCACATGAAGCAGCAGAAAGGTGTGTACCCATGGAGCTGTGGAGTACCCGTGTGGAAGGTCCTTCAGCTTTAGAGTAAATCATGCTTGGAGTTTGGGCAACTGAAAAGCAAATGACACTAAACCTGTCAGACCCAGGAACAATTCCATTATCTGTTATTTCTGTTAATAAAAATCTGAAAGTGGGACTGGAGAGACGGCGCAGTGGTTAAGAGCACTGACTGCTCTTCCAAAGGACCCAGGTTCAAGTCCCAGCACCCATATGACAGCTCACAGCTGTCTGTAACTCCAGGGGATCTGATATCCTCACACAGACATAAAGATAAATAAATGATAGATAGATAGATAGATAGATAGATAGATAGATAGATAGATAATGAAAAATATGGAAAGTAAAAATCCAAATATGACAAAAAAAAAACCCGGCATTCCCAGCCTGAGTCACAGCACAGTTGGGAAGGTTCTCTGGGTAATTTAGAGAAAGGAATACCTTTGCTCCAATTGAACCTTGTTTCTAACGATAGGCCAGACAGAAAGACTCTGGCAGTCCTGAGGATGGGAGAACACACCATCTCAGTGAACAGGAGGCTTCGTTCTCAGGGCTCCTCCATTTGATGGGCTGCAGCCAATAATTTATAGTCCTAGTTTGATCTGCCTCTGGTTGCTCCTTTAAGCGTCCTCTTTGTGAATATCTGCTTTTGGAATCATGGGGAGGCTGATGTGTTTCACGTTTTCTAAACTTGGGAAGTAAATTCTTCTGTAAATTTGGTAATGGAACAACTTCTTTTGTTTCTAAAATTATCCACCTCACTTGAGAATGAACGTTGCCACACCAGAAGGACCAAGTGTTTTCATTAGTGCTGGGGAAAAAAAACGAGAGAGAGAGAAAAGAGTAGCAGATCCCATACCACCAATTTACAGCATTGCAAAGGCAATAAAACCAACCCCGAGAACCAGTGTGGGCCTGTCTCAAATCAAACAGCCACAGGAGTTATAGTGTATTCTTCAGCTTCCATCCCTTCCTCAACCTTCAGGTCGCCTCATCTAACTCCCGTCAGAGTTACAAGAGCCCCTCGCCATCTACATCATACATCACAGACTCCCCACCCCGCCCCCTAGTCTAACATCCCTACCTGCTGCTGGGGGCTCTTGGCGGAGATAATGTGACACATTAGAAGTCTTGAAATAAATCCCCAGGGGTCTGCTTAGGGGAGACTGCTTAGCACACTGCCAGGCTCCGTTCTTAGGACTGAGCTTGCAAGACTCAGGACAGTTCCCGAGCTAAGTGAACAAATATCAGCAATAAGGAGTGTTTCCTTAGCATGACAGATAAATTACCTGTGAATATCGACCTTCTCAACTGTGGAAGGAACATTTTAAAACTGCGCCTTCTGTGGGTTAAGATGGTATTTGAAATCTGTGTATCAATTTTAGGAATATCCAACAATCGGTCAACTCATTGATAAGCTGGTACAAAACAACGTGCTCCTGATCTTCGCTGTAACCCAGGAACAAGTCCACTTGTATGAGGTAAGCGAATATGCTGGGAGAAATCCCCTCAAGGAGATGTGTGCGTCATGAAACGAGGAGGTTAACTCTGTGACTCACCCCTGGAAGGGCTCTTGGATAATCATTAACACATACCAAGCAAACTGAGAGCTTGGCAAGGCTCCTTCATCTGCTGTTGGAATTTTGGGTAACAAGCTGTGGAGGGCCAGCAGAAAGTTGGGGCACACATAGTAGAACAATAAAAAGGTTGGAGGTGAAAAGGGTAGGGGAGAAGGGAGTATCAATGAGCGCAGGTGGAGTCACTTTAGTGCCATTAAAACAAGCATTTCCTCTGAAAAGGAGTTAAGCAAGAACAGGGACATTATTAAGAGTGTGAGGGCACTGACTAAATATTTGCAAACATGGAAAGACTCCAACAGAAAGTTGAAAGAAAATCAGTTCTTAATTTGGGTCAAAAAATAATCCCTACCCACTCCCAACCCCAACCCCAACCCCAAATGTAGTTGTGTTTACAGTTCAGGTGTTGGAGAGGCACCAGTGTGGAAAGGGGAGTCTTTCATTAGATTTTCACGATGCTTGCTAGCCACCATATAAACTGTAAAGCGCCTGTGCAAACTTAAGAGTTCTGTGGTCTCTTTACAACCTAAGAAAAACAAGGTGTCAAAATGCTGCGAACGGTGATAACAGCCAGGGGCCTCCTGGAAAAATGCAGTTTCATAGAAAAGGCGGAACGGCGGAGAAATGCAGCCGTTAGACCGTGCTTTCTATGCAAAAGGGCTGCTCAGATACTCCTGAGTTCAGACTCCGATTTCCCACTCCTCTTGAAAGGGCCTCTTCACCTGGTGAGTTTGCAGGGGATACTCCAATTTTTTTTCCCCCCAGAAGGCTTTGATTAAATGTACTCGCTACTCAGAATGGTGCAGTCCATGAACTTGCATCAGATTCTATGGAAAGAGTCCAGGAGGAGATGCTATCTTGCGTTTTTCATGAGAGGAGGGTATTGTACTCCAGGAGAGAGAGCCTTTACTAAGGAAGTCCATTGCTATCAGGCTCCATCCTCAAGGCTTTTGTTTCTCGAGTCACCTGATCTGGACTTTTTTTTTTTTTTTTTTGAAGGCAGCTTAGTATGTGATACCGGTTTCCACTGGTTTTCAGTCGTAGGGTTGCAGTAAAGATATATTTTTAAATTACCTCAGCACAATAGTGGGTCGACCGTGCCTTTGATCCTGAAGACTGAAGGGAGAGGACCCCAGGGGTCGCAGCGCCTCCTCCCCAGCGGGGCTGTAGTTTAGAAGCTGGAGGGGTAGCTGCCCAGAACTTACTTGCAGAAGGGAGTCTGGGGAACACGATTGATGGTCATGAACATAGACTCCCATAATTCACGTTGGTAATAGTCTTTAAGAACCACAGCTCGTTTAGACGCCTCCCCCAAACCACTATTAAGAAGACAGAGGAGGATGAAAAATAACTATGTGGCAAAACAGAATCTGCTACATTCAGGTTAGTTGCACATGGTTCCCCTGTTGCAAAAGAAACGATCATTTCCAAGGAAAACACCAGTTATAGCCTGCCTCTAATATAACAGCAGGACATTTATTTTGTCTGCCTACTAATCTCATTATGAGGAGAATTTATGTCCTGTCATGATCTGTGGTCTCTGCCATCCGGGCGCCACTAAATTCGAAGGAACATTTTCAGGGAGCCACAGCCCAGCAGCCAGGTCAGCAATCTGCCCTGACGGGTGTCTCCTTGCTCTGTTTTCCTTCTGATGGCCCATCATGCCATCTGCATTAGGGGGCCAGGAGGCAGCTTGGTCTAAAGATAATGACAGCCACACATACTTCCCTGAAGGCTTCGCATAGCGTGGAAATGCTGATCTCTTGTTTTATTGATAATGAAAACAGAAAATAGACCAGTAATGGCCTGTGTTGCTTTTCCATTTAAACCTCTTAGAACACGCCTTTTGTGTGCTGGAGGCCAGAGCAGTATGATGTGTGGGGTAGCTGTGAAATAAAGAACAAAAGCACCAAAGAATCCTTGAGCAATAAGCCAGCAGTGGGATAAATTAAGTAGTGAGATCTAATGGAAATTCCAGAAGGTAAATTATTTGCCTGAATTATATAATAAGGAGAGTTCCGTGCCTGCACAGCCGGCAAGGGATGGGTGAGGTTCAATGGCGGCTCTGTCTTGCAGCAAGAAAGATTTATGTTGCCCACTCATGTAATTCAGGAAAAATGACTGTTGTTTCAACCAGCTGGGTAGGATGCTCTGGCCTGCCCAGGTGTGGGGGACTGCTGGGCCCTGTCATAAGGATCTGAACAGACAATGGAAGGGATTCCGTAAGCAGTTTCCTTTCAGCTCCGGACGACTGCAGTGTGCACCCCAGACTCCGGCAAACAGACAATTAGGAACAAACTTATTATTATGAATAGTTTCTTGTTTGTCCAATTACAGGGTCCAAAAGATAATGATAGATAATCGGCTGAGCATTAGGTAGTATATTATATCCTAGTACAAAGTACCATTTAAAATGAAGATTTGATTACCCAAGCTAAAAATAAAGAATAAAGAAAAAAAGTTTACACCTCGGTCTGTTGTTTTTAAATGCTCACTAAATTTACATTACGATAGTATCAGTAAATTAAAGTCCAACTGCTTAATTTGCGGTGTCCTTCCTTCCTAGTGAGATACTGAGATAAAGCAATTAAATCAGTAGTTTTACTATATTATCGAATCATGTTATTAATCACCTCCTATTATTTGCAAGGCTTAACAATATCTATATGCAGACAAACACTGCTCGTTTCTTTCCTGGCCACCCAGACCCGAATAATCACACAGAAACTATCTTAATTACAGCACTGTTTGGCCAAGAGCTTAGGTGTATTCCTAGCTTGCTCTTACATCTTAAATTAACCCATTTCTATTAATCTGTGTATCATCACAAGGCTCTGGCTTACTGGTTAAGTTTCTGGCGTCTTCTCCTTCGGCAGCTACATGGCGTCCGCCTGAGTCCGCCTATTCTCTCTCTCTATCTCTGGTCAGATTTCCAGTCTGGCTTTAAACAGCTTTATTCATTAGCCAATTAAAGCAAACATTTACAGAAGAACATCCCACATCACCTATATGTTTTCCAAATGTCTACACCTAGCAAGAAGGATGCACTGCATGGAAACGCAGCAGCGATGGCAGTTACAGGAGCTAGTGTTGGCAGCAAGATGGTACTACAATGAGTCCATCTGCAGCACATGTCTCCAGGTCAGCCACTGTTATGGTCACCCTAACTGGTGCCCTGTGGTCACTAGGACAGAGTAACAGGTAGATTAGGCTCTTATGCATTCGGAAGACCCTTTCCCTAGAGACAAGCAGCTCTCGGCTACTAGATCTTTGAAGAGAATGTATCTTACACATCTTCTTGTTTAGGCCAAGCCTCCACGACGTTGTTAAATAAATATAAAAATACAGTAGAAGCATCTCTCTTTTTTGTTTTCTAAAATTGAGTCAAATGTTCTTCAGGACTTGGAGTTTGATGTGACAGATGCATGTGAAGGCGGAGGCTGTCTGAGCACGTAGGGCAAGTAGAGGGCACCTAACCATTGACAGGATGCTCTGCCACCCAAGCTGTCCCCGTCTTCTGCCTTCCATCCTGGACCCAGATGGCACCAGAAAGGAAAGCAGAGCCATGCCATCTGTCTCAGGGCAGACCTGCTGGAGCAGTTCCATGCGTCCCTTCCCACTGGGCCAGTAGGAAACCCCTGAGCGATTATCCACAGGCACACATGAGATCAAACAGCAAGTCTGACAAGCAGTGGTAACACACTGTAAGCCTCGTGCTCTTTCTCACCTCATGGAAATAACATCCTGTCCATACGCATCCGTGTTTCAGGAATCAGTCACCCCAGTTTTCTTTATCCCCTTCTCCCTTTGGCGATTCACTGTAGCGAGAGAGGTTAGGAGGTAAGGTGAACTAGAGGGAGATTAAATAGAAATTGGACCTCCTTGCTGTTCGTTAGTTGGTTCGATTGTTTTGTTTTCTACTGATCTCGGTGGAAAAGATCAAAACCATTTCAGTTCAGTGGAAATCCCTTGATCTCTCAGGCCTCAGTATTTGTAAAATAAAAAGATTACGCCTAATGGCCTCCATTTTTAACAGGCGATGACCAGTGCTGGAGCTGGCCACGCGTTCTGATGATCCACACACAGATAACAAGGTTCACTAGCTGCACCGTGGCTGATGTTAGGGCCCACTCTAAGAAGTTATTCCCTGTCCTCTCAATCTCATGCTATAATTGGATATTCCAAACTTGGGATTTTTAATGCAAATAAAATTGTCTGGGATAAAAAGCAATTTCACGATTATGTGGCATTGCCATGGAGTTAATAAATTGCTCTTGATTCAAGGATAATGGGGAAGATTTTTTATTTCTCCTTAATTGATGGTCTCTGGGAAGAAAGCCCGAGGAGAGCCAGCTGCCTACACTTTCCTCATTAGCTGAAGCATCACTCAGAGAGGGAGGCTTTGGAAAGAAAACTCGTGTCCCCAGATTACTGGGCATCTACCAAATAAGACTAACTAGTAAATCCCAACCACCAGCAGTCACTGTTAGCTAACTCATAGGGCTTTTAAAGAATCTAAAGGCTTGTACTCCACAACATAAACATAGGAGAAAAGGAAGATGCAGGTCTTAAGTAGAGTCTTCATGAGATCCCCTACTAGGTCTTCTCATATAGGAGATCTTGCCACTATACAGTCTAAATGTTTGAGCATTTGCATAACACCTAGAATGTCTACTGAGCATTGTATCACTGGGCAATGATGCCACGCACTACATAGTCACACATTCATTCATTCATCAAATATCTCCTAGGAACCAGGTCAGAGTTTATGACCACAAGAATAAAGTGCAGTGTCTGCCTCAAGAAGTCTCAAGCATCACTAACAAATTTTTAAATCTGTTATTAATCAAAAAAAGTAATGGTGAGAGCACTGTAGAGACCCAAGGGAGAAGGGTGGGGTAGAA